GCTTACGTAAGCGAACCGAGAGAGGCGCTTGCACGACGGGTGGATACTTAGGAGAGCGAATTTCGACAGCCTACGCCTATCGGACGATATTCGCCTCGGAGAATTCGAAGCTGCCGGAGGAGGTATTTTTCCATGGACATGTTACGTGAAAGGAGCTGTCGGACTTTGCGTGATTTTTCTCTAGTTTCAAAATGCCCCTGGCTTTTCGGTCATCCAGGGCCACAGGAGGTACAACTACTTTGAGGACCAATCAACTCCGGCTTACCTTAACTCTCAAAAAATCTACCGGTTCCTCATTTGATCCGACGACGATTATTCGGGCAGCCTTCGCGTCCGACTAGTTGGTATTAAAATAGCCGATAACCCTCGTGAGCTTTCGTAGAGCTTGCAAAAAATAAAAAATAAACCAACGATGATTTTACAAAAGGCAGCAGGTACATATGGGAGCCAACTATCGCGAATGGCACCCAAATGCCCATTCCCTGGTTTAGGTAAGGCGCCTTGGGTACATATCTATTAGGGCGCGAGTCAGCTCTTCTGCCGCGATGCAACCCACTTACTTTTTGCAACCACGCCCGTCAACTCGCCCGAAGCCACCTCCTACTCTGTAAAAGCTCTGCCGCTGTCAAGCTCCGGCTCCCGCCCTCCAACATAAAGTTGCAGCTGTCTGTTTCCTCTCTGTATAAAGCACACACTCGTGCACTTGCCAATAAGGGACTCGTTCAGCGACTTTGCCAATATGTTTCTCTAAACCGGATACCGTTCGATAGATCGATGACGAGGGAATTTTGTGAAAAAAATCATCGTATGCCCACGTAACACAAATTACCGTGGAAAATCGCGTAACCATAATCCACGAGCACGGATGATTCAGACGGAGAACATCGCGCAGTGTACATCCCCGGCGATGAGTAACACACGTATCGACAGCCGTAGAGCACTGGCTCTAGATCGGTATAGAATATACCGAAAATGCGCTGAATCTTGAGCTTCGCTTATGGGTATATACATTACGCAGAGAACTATGCAGAACCTCCGAGTAGCGACTTTGTTTTCGCGCGTCGTTGTGGGTTTACGTAACCGGTGTTTCGATGATTAACAATTTGTTTCATGATCGGCAGCAAAGGTGACTCTCCTCGCGTCGCGCGACACTCGCACGTTACTTGTATACATATGTTTATACTTACGCGCGTATACTACACCGCAAACAGCTTACGTAAGCCCTTATATGTATATATAAATGCGCACAAAGTCGAAGATTAAGGCTCGCCGATCGGAGCGTCGTTTCGGCGTAAAATCGGCACTTGTGGTTATTGGAAGAAGGTGTTTAGTATATTTTACTCTACGATTAGCACTTGGTATCGAAAAATCACGTCTCAATTAGCAGCAAAGTGGTTGTTGTTGTTGTTGTTGTTTTTTTTTTTTTTTTTTTCATTGTTATACCTATACAATTGCAGTTCACGCGAAACGTAAATACGCATACGCCGCAGCGTTTGAAATTACGTAAGGCGCCGCGATGCGTCAATAAAATATTGAAAATTGATACTTGGTATCTGCAGCGAGCAAACACAAGCGGAGCTCTTTGCAAGCTCTGCTGTGTGGGTGTGTGTATGTATGTGCGTGCAGTCAATGAACGATTCGCACGGGCGTAAACACGCACGGGAAAGGTCATACGATGCATCAACTCGACTTTTTTTTTTTTTTTTTTTTTTTTTTTTTTTTNTCATTTTTGCTTCTTGATGGGGTAAAATCTTAGTTTCATATTCCATTTCGTTGCGAATAGCTGGCAATTTTTACAATAATAATCATTATAATTATCACGGTACGTTTAGCCCCATCCATAATAACCAACAAATTTTTGATGCAAAGCATCCAGAGAAAAAAGCCTTTCGCTGTTTAATTAACCAAAGAAATTTGGCCGGGATTTTTCGACAGCTCTCTCCTCCTGCAGAGCTTGAAAAATCCGGTGCGAATTGTATACGCGAAAAAAAAGATCGTGGCGTAAGTGTATACCTACAAAAAAAAATAAAAAGTAGCAACTTACGGTCGACGCGCAGCTGCACTCGAGCGCACAGCACCTGCTCACCAAGAGTTCACCTGCCCCCGCTTCCACAGACGACATATATATATATATATATATATAGCAGAGGATCGCTCATGCATCACTGAAACAACAACCGGTGATAAGATAAGTCGCACGAGAGGGAAAGGTGATCTTTAATTCTTTTACTTGGTGTAAAAAATGTCCACGGATGATTGGTTATTGATAAGCAAACTATAACTAATGGCACATCCATTCAAAATTTCCACAAGAAACTAGTGCCATTTTTTCTCAACACAAGCTATTTTTTTCACAAATACAAAATCTACTCTGTATGGGACTAGAAGATTCACTCGGTGTGGAAGTCTAATAACAGGAACATCATAAAAGTACCCTTACGCAATTTTCCAGCACTGAATGGGTAGTAAATTGTTTCGCAAAGGTACAAGAAAAAAAAAAAAAAAAAAAAAATGGCACACGAGCGGGACAATGCACGGTCTTGCTCATAAACGCTGTGGGTGGGTACACCGTGTACACATAAGACAAGCCGCAAATTATCGGAGATGTAACGTCACAGAGAAGTTCCAAAATGTTTCCCAATCCACGGAGCAATGCTGTAAGTGTACACGTAAGTGCCATAGACGAGCCCGAGCCGCTCCTCCTTGTATAATAAATCAGGCTATATTTACGAGGAGCGACGAACTCGGGGTCCGTCATAATTAACGACGTTGGCGTTTAGACGCCACCACCACACACCGGCTAAGCCGTGCTTTTGACACTGTGCGAGCGTTTATACTTGACGCGCTCGGGCTAGAGTACACCGTCGGCTCGCTCGAATTTCAAAGTAAAATTTCTCGAGCGCACTAATTACCTCGTGTTTGCTCCGATAACTCGGGCCCCCTTTACATTGGAAATTGACTTTTAACTGGACGCGAATTCGATAAATAAACCCCGTATAACCATATCTTTGTCGAGTTTCGTCAAGGTTTTTTTTCTTTTCAGCTGTACCGATGTTTCTCTTGTCCCTTTTTTTTTTTTTTTTTTTTTCTTGTCTAAACTTTGTCCAAAATCCCTTTTTCACAATGTCCGCATGTCCTTACAAAGACAAAGCACCCCAGTCAAAGAAAAAAACCAGGTAATGTATATACACGAGTACACCAGGCGCGTATATGAGCGAGTGCTAAAAGGGTAGTCTAGGTATACATTACAACACACGGGCTGCAGTAAACAAGCCGTGAATTTCGGCGATAGGAGAACGGCACCCAATCCAGCTCAGCTGGTCCGCGTCGATTATACATATACAAGTACCTGGCGCGCGAACCTCGAGCCCACGCGCAAAAAGCCACCCCCTCGTGACGCGCGCACGCGCCGTCCCTCTGCTCATGCGTGCACCGGTGCCAGAGCGTAGTTATCCTCGTTCGCGCTCCTTTTCCCCTCGCGAGGAGCCACAGTGGTCGCGGACAACTGATTTTCTGGGATACCCGCGCGCATGACTCTGGTGACGCGCTCGCCCCCATTGGCGGCAATGGCCCTCGATATACACGTAACGTCGCGCGAAGAGGAAGAAAAAAGGGAGAGATGACCTGTAATCGCCATGTAATTTGCGCGTTGCAACAGGGTATAACGTCAACACTTGCCACTGCGTCCACCATATAGCGTGTATGTGGTGACGGCTTGCGATAACAACTGCACCCTCCCCCACACCCCTCAACCCTAGAGTGTCCCCGGTCCGTGACCTGCTGGCACTGTTCACCCGGCAGCACTCGATCGATCGCATACAACGTGCTTCTCCTCACACGGCACATCCTACGGCGTGGTTCGAACATATAGCTCTCTGGTACCATCTTCTCGAAAAATGTTTGCCAAGATACGTGAGCCCATCCGAGCGAGGCTGAACATTCGAGGGGGTGACTTTTGTCGCTGTTCCATGTACCACCTCGGGGGAAGAAACAAAAGGGACTACCTCACAAGCAGCTGCAATCCACGTGCAACAACGAGTGCTCGTATAGCCCAGGGCACACGAGTAATAAACAAAACGAGGCGTCCCTTGCGCAATAGCGCGTAACACCCTCCTATACAGCCATCCTCTTTCTAACATCTCCGTCGGAGCTTGTGTTTATATAAAAAGGGAGAAAAGCATATATATATATAATATATATACCCCCGCTTACCTCGGCTCCGTAATCCCCCGTTACGTCCAACCAGCGCGCACACAACATCCCAGTGGCAGCTGCCGAGTATCTTACTCAACCAAAACCGAGAGGCGAGTGTATTGTATATGTACGTATAATATATGTATATACAAGCGCAGAAGGTTACATAGCCGTCGTCGCAGGCGGGCATCTCCCGGCTCCGTCCGAGTCGCGGCGCGTCGATCGAAGCCGCGCGCACAACCACCACCACCACCACCGCCACGAGCATCGGAGCCGGTGCGCGCGAAAGCAGAGACAGTCTTGGCTAGAAGCTCGACCGGCGCGCGTATACGACCGTCCCATTGTCCCGCGCCTCTGTATATATTATACATGTAGGCGGGTCGAAGCGAGGGTCGCCGAAAGCACATGTACCAATCGGCCGTTTTTGTGCTTTTTTGTTTTGCTTTGATTCCTACGTCGTTGCTCCTGTCGAGGGGTGGCTCACAGACGGGGATAACCCACTTGGCGCAAGTAGTTCACCCCCGGCTACGGTCGGCCAGTGTTTTTGTTGTCGGTGGTCAGGAAACACAACCGCCGGCTTCGTTGCACGAGTGATCCGGTGATCCGTGAGTTTGCATCGACAGTTACGTGGTGGTGGTGGCACGATACCAGTCTCGGGGCTGATCGAGCTCACCCCCCGTATGGGCCGCAGACATGTGTAGAGGCTTCAAGTGCACAGTGGCACCCGGCAGTGGATTCTACGGGGCGGATTTTGAAGGAACCTCGGTGTAAAGGTGCGGACGGGGGTGGGCGGATAGAGGGACACACTTTTGCGGGGGCAGGTAGGATGACGGACACGGCAAAGGAGGCGTTTGCCTCGCGCAATTACCGGCTGGCCGTTGAAATGTACGAGAGGTGCATGAAACAGCAGAGCCCGAGCTTCGAGGTGTTGTTCGGGTACGGGGAGTCGTTGGCGCGGTGCGGCCGGCTGCGCGAGTCCGTGGACGTGTACTCGCGTTGCTTGGCCCTGGGTGGTAACGTGCCGACCGACAAGCTCCGGCACCTGGTGAACGCGCTGCTCGAGGAGCTCGGGCTGTCGACGGCGAGCGACAGGAGACAGTCGTGGCGGGGTGGTGCGGAACTTGGGGCCTCGTTCGCCTGTCCGGAGTGCGAGGGCGCGCTGTACCAGCCGGTGAGCCTCGACTGCGGTCACACCTTTTGCCGGGCCTGTGTCCTCGAGGCGCCGAGTTGCAAGCTGTGCGGCCAGAGGCGCGAGGCCAGGCTAGAGACGAACGTTCTCGTGCAGAGGCTCGCGGAGAAGTGGTGGCCGGCAGAGACGGAGGCCAGCGGAGCGAGGCACGAGGCCGACGCTATGCTCAAGAAGGGACACCTCGGCCAGGCCCTCGAGAGATACGATCTGGCGGTACAGCTCGGTAAGTTTTTCCTTCCTTTTGCAGCTTCTTAGGGTCCGGGAGTTACACATAAACCAAACAACGATTATTGCGTATAACGGGGAGGAAACTTTTTTTTCCCCCCCCCCCCCCCCCAACGAGAGGCGAATAATATATTTGGCGAATGCATGGACGGCGATTGATTGTGATGATCGCTCGATCCCACCCATATACGGAACAACTCGATGCGACTTGGAGAGCTTTTCAACGCGAGATGCGTTTTTATGAAATCACGAGCCGTAAGCGATTCGCTCGGAGCTCACCTCGCGAAGGTTACGCAACGAATGAATCGGCGTCGTTTAAACGCACACGATGAGCTCCCGGGGTTTTTCTGTCCCATCAATCGAGTTGGTGCACGAAATTTCAACCCATGAATCACCTCGTCAGGAGCAAATCGCGCGCCAATCCATGTAACACACGAGGGCTTTAGGGTGGGGGATCTTCAACAATAGACGTCATCGGCTAATATTACAACGTGCATGTATGTACGGGTGGGGGGGGGTTGGGTGTAATCGCCGAGTAACCTCTAACTTCGTTTTTTATATAACAAAGTTCTATTTTTTTCGTCTTCTTCATCATCAAACAGGTTACACAATGTTTCGACGTGTTAAAAAATTACGTAAAGACGAGAGTTGCCAGACAAATACACGGGAGACGCCGCTCGCGTGCGTTATATGATATATACACACATGTATACATGTACAAAATAGACTCGCGTCTCTCTCGGATGAATCGTGTACAATTACAGTTGTGATATCGGCAGAGAAAATTTTGTGACACTGTACGGCAATTCAAGCAAATAAGTATAGAAAATCAGTCCTGTGTGTATAAATATACATATATATACGCGTGGAGCGTATACATGGCAGATAGTCGGTTGTGCCCGTGTTTCCGTTATATAATTGAAAGCTCTGTTATCGGGAAGCGATATACCCGCGGTTTATTTATAAATTGGAGTACAACGACGAGTCAATTGTTTCATCAATTGCAATCATCGTCCCTCCGTATACGATGCGGTGTATGCAAAACACCAGAGGTCCCTCGTGTGGGTATTGCGCGTTACGTAAAAGCTTAGCTCGGAGCGCAAGCTCGGTACGGATATTAACGAACCGTCGTTTCAACGCCAATTCAAAGATCACCCGAATACGCGAAAATGAAAGAAAAAATTACGCAAATATGTTTTTCCTCCTCCTTAGCCAGTTGGTCAGCTGAGCAGCAGGAAATTTGCTCTCGGAGGCGCGTCTAAGGCAGAGCTTAACAAATCTCTCTTTGCTCTTGCTAATATGTGTCATGTACGACGTATATGTATGTACAGCTCGCGTGCAGCGTGTAGGGTAATGCGGGTGATGAGTCACGCGTATAGTGGGACGGCGTTGACATCCGCGAGTGTATAAAAAACTGTATCCGAGAGAAGATTCGGGACGCGGGCATTGGTGCTGTGAGACGGGAGATACAAGCTCTTTATCGGAAGCTAGTAGCTCGTGACGGTCCGATAAGGAAAAAGGGAATTTTTAATGCTTTTTTTTTTTTTTTTTTTCATTTGTTTACAGGTTGGTTGTGCGAGGGGTATTAAACATCGCGAGGGCCTACGATCGTACCGAAAACTTTGCCGGTTTACGCGTTGACATTGTTTGTTTGTGTGTGCTTTTTTTTTGTCTTTTAATTTTAATCTCGTATTTTTGCGCGTAAAAGCAAACGTGATATTATTTTCGTGTGTATCTGACATTGAAAGATAATTCAGGGTTCAAGGAAGATCGGATGAGCAAAGAGAAAAAAAGCGGGTATCTGCTCCGATCGTCGTTGTTTTTATTATTTTCGCACGGGAACAGTGTTGAACGATTTTGTTTACAAGAGACGCGGCTCCAGCGTAGTACACCGTGTTGTAAATGCTAATTTGTATCTTATCTGAAAGAGACGTCGCTTCGAATCATCCCCGAGTCTCCGAATCTTTACGAAGAAAACGACGTGTTTTTCTCGTTGCACGAGCGTCCACGATTGTTTAAATAAAAAAAAAAAAAAAAAAAAAAAACGAAGAAAAAAACGAAAAATGTACAAATTTCCGATTAGCAGTCCCGCAACCTTGGCGCGCACTCGGGGTAAATAAACTCTGCAGTTGTTGCTCATACGTCGTATTTTAAATTTCATTTTTCTGCCTCACACGTACAATCGTGTCCACGACCTTGTCATTCTTCTCGGCTCTTATCATCACGTCAAAATAGCAAATCGCGCATTGTTATACCCACACGCGGACAAACCAATTAAAATAACATACACGTGGCACCACATTTCAGATACTCGTGTGAGCGATTACGCAAAAAAAAATTTTTTTCTACGAATGCATGACACTCGTTGGTGTGGAACCGCGGAACAAACTTTATACAAATTCATCGGCTCGTTTCGAGTGAAAAATGTCCCTACCAGTAAGAACTTCAAAGTCGTAAGCTTTGTCAACATTTGTAAGTAAAAAAACGTATGGACTTGCAAAAAACTTTGATTTTTATTTGTAAAATCGTAAATAAATCTTCTACTGTCCCCAAAAAAGCCATCTCAATCAGTGGCAAATCCAACGCTCGCGAGCCATTGCGTCGGCCATCGCCGAATAAATCGTACCCGCTTTAGCCCGCAAAAGCCCCGAGCCACTAATTATTCCACAGGGAAGAAAGACCTCCTCTCCCTGCAATGCTTTAATCAAACGTCCGGCTGACGACCTCTCCTCCCGTGCCCTCGAAACTCCTTTGTCTGGATTCCCAGACATCGAAATCGCGCCCCACCGCAGGGAGAAAATTGCTCCCGGTGCGCATACATGCTCTCCTTCCCGCCTCTATTTCTTTCTTTCTTCGAGCCGATCTTGACATCGATTTTGGCTACTCTCCTCGCACGAGAGACGTCTCTCCCTCTCTCTGTTTTGTTGTCGAACGACGTTTTGACAGCCCGCCACTCGTGGTGTTATTTACTGCCGTTTACGCGGCATATTATATACATACTCCTCTCTCGCTCGCCTTGGCGTCTTTTATTATTCTCCTCATTGTCCGCACATTCGTACACACATGTATTCGTGTGTCAGACACTTGCGATGCAATTTTAATACATTTCATTCGCACGCGGGAGCATCAGTAATTTAACAATTGGCGCGTTGTTGGGTTTTTCATTGTTATCGAGGAATTAAGCTCGAGTCGTCATTGATGTTTTTACGACTCTCTGCGATCTCGAAAAATAAAAAAAAAAAAAGGCCAGTGTACCCTTGAACTCCCGGGTAATCGTAGCATCGTCAGAGAGCGTGACCACCTGTTTTTTCATGAAAAAACCACTGCATTAAGAACTAATGACAATATGATGACAAAAGCATTTAGAGAGAAACTTGGCTCATTAGACATAGACACAAGAGTTTGCGGGAGTAAAACGAAAAAGCCCGTAATAATATCGAGGAATGCACGATTCGCTGCAGCGCGAGCGGTGGAGGGCGACCTTGCCCGGCTGGGGAGAGAGGTCGTCGAACTCCTCTCCCGCTAAAAGTCCCAAGGTCAGGTGTTGCGACGAGGCGCTCTCTCGGATGATCGCGCGAACGCATATATATACGCGCTGCATAGGCGATACACACAAACACAAAGATCTTTCTTTCTTCCTCTGCTGCTTCCTTGGGACGAGAGAGAGAGAGAGAGCTTTTTTTGTTCTCTCTTTCTTTGTCGGCTGTTGGCGGTGCAGCTGCTGATGGCCTGTCGTATTGGTATGTCGGAGGACGCGAGTGTGATTTGATGGATGCACATCGTGAATGAACGAGAGACTTACCATGATGATGCGGGACGTGACTGTTTTTTTCCTTTTTTTTTTTTTTAATTCTCGTTCATTAAGGTTTCTTGAAACAAAGGATTTTTAAATAAACTTCACACTACTAGATATTATATAATTTTTCTCTTATGTTTTTTCATCGATTTTTGGGTACGAAAGGGAGTAGTAATTTGAGGTATGTTTTTAAACCACTGGCAAACGTTGGCTCCAGAAAATGCAAGCACTTTGTTGAGAGAAAACTTGATGAGGAATGTTGGGATTGTTTTATCTGCAGAGTGTATATACTTATACTTAGCCAGGGCACAAAAGCAAACTGCGAAATTTGTTATTTTTGTTGTTAGCTTTGTGTTTGCGTTTTAAAGAAAGGAATCGAAAAAAACTATCCCCCCCCTGTTGGCCTGCTCGTTTGTTAAACGTAAAAAAAAAGAAAAAAGATTTTTCCAATCTTTTGGCTGTGTCCCACGTTAAAGCTCTCGAGTGTTAATTCATGGACTCAAGGGCAATCTTCGCGTCGATTTTCTTCTTCGACGGGAAAACGCGAGCGAAACCTCCCCGCGTATATACACCACATGTGTTGTGTGTACGTAGTAGTCGGAGCGCGCGCGATAGGTCGATGCACGCGGCCGGTAGATCGCCGTATATGAGATCGTGCGGATAACCACCTGGCGATCATCGCGGGGCTATTAATAGCCGCGGTGCAGGCCAACTACCTACTGTACAATGCTACAGCCAAGGAGAGACGGACAGGAGGAAGAGTAAAAGGCTAATCGGCGCGTTTGACGTTTTCACGCCAAAAAACACCTTGCGCGTGCAATCTCTCTCTCTCTCTCTCTCTCTCTCTCCATTTCTGATTAGTGGAAACCGTATACCTTTTTTGGTACATTTTACAGACGGGGAGGCAATTTAACCGGGAAAAACAAAATTTACCAGTGCGATGGATGTTATAGGTGGAAAAACGATCGATTTCTCGGTACGTAATCCCAAGAGATCGCTCGAGAATATACGGCTCTTACGCAAGGGCCCGAAGACGCTTCGGAAACTCTCGACTGTATAAGCACGGAACTCGTATGCGAAAGCGTTTCTCAAAAGCGGACGAGAAAAAGAAATGATCGACAATGGCTCCCTTTGAGAGTACAAGCATAATTAGGACTGCAGCAGTCCGCAACCGTCGGAAAGGCGCTCGGAGCGAAAGGACC